CAACACACTGACCTCTACATATACACTTGTATATATAGAGGTCAGTGACGCAACATCAAAAATATATTAAAGAATTACTTCTTAAGTAACTTATAATAAGTACTGTAAAAAAAAATATATTATAAGTTTATCTTTAATATCATTAATTATTATAAAATTATATGAACAGCCTGTACATGCGAACTCGACACGTCAAGCCAAGTAGGCAAATAACACCACCGAGAGCAAACCGGTTTATTGTCTGTACGAGGAGCGCGGTTCAATGCGTGCATCACAACATTATGATGTATTATGATATAATTATTAGGCATAATAATTACCATGCTATCTATGTTAATGGCATCGGTATACGGTAAAGCTGTATAGCTTATGTTTACTGTATACTGTAAAATACCAAAAGTTTATATACCATCAAACAGGGCAGAAATATAAACTAATTACTCGATATTGTGGGTTTTAATTTTAGTAAATTTTAAAATATAAAGTATCTAAATGAAATTAAGAATCAACCATCGCCCCTCTAAACCACACCAACGCCCCCCATTTTTTTCTGGGCCAATGCCCACAAGGAGGCGTTATCTCCCACTTTGAGAAAGGCCTATTATTAGTACCTACATAAAGCTATACCAACTGCTGCATTAAAGTTTGGATAAACGTTTTGCAAATTTTTTTTTTTTGTAAGAACGAAGATAGACTTTTCAATTATTCAGAATCAGGTTTCACTAAAATTCTTTTAGAATAAAAGTGGCATTGAAAATGTATGCATTATTGAACTGAATCAGTCTAAATCATAATAATATAATTCTGACAAGAGAAGGGCTTTTCATGCATTTTCCTCAAATATGAAAATTTCATTGAATCTGTTGTGGGTATCCTGTCGTTTTTCTAATTCGGATAAGAGTCTATCAATGAGGAAAAGAAATATGTTAAATTTGAAAATCAATCGTAGTAATTCTCATTTCTTCATTGGGTATTTGATTTCTTTTTTTTTTCCTTTTCAGTTGTCTTTTTCACATGCTTCGACAAGCTTAATTCCATCGCCTTTTCTTCGAAATACTTACTTGAAATTTTCTCGTTCAGCTACGAAAAACTAGCAAAAAGATTCGTAAAGATGGACAACAGTGATCAAATCTACGGTAGAAACTCGAATTTGAACATTCACTTAGTTTATTCTTTGCAAAAAAACATTCCACACAACACTCATTACCGCCATTTTCAGTTTTTATAAATTCAAAAGTATTTCCGTCGCTTCGTTTCGCGTTATAGGCTTTTCGGTACAATAATCCTTAATTAATTCCAAAGCTTTAACGACTTCGTACCAATAATCTCTAACCTTCCATTACACACAAGTCCTCTCTAGCTGACCAAGGTGTCAAATTTACTCTCCTTAGCGTTTTCCCTTTTCGATTTCAGTCATTATTTTTTGCCAGCGATGTGTCAAACTAAAATAAAAATTTCTTGAAACAACATGAAGAAACTACAAGCTTTTGTGCAACATTCATCAGCTGCAGTTGCCACTGAATTTAAAGAGTGGAGAGAGCAAGGAACAAAAAATGTTTTCTTTTCCGAGATAATGGCACAAAATATTTCTTTATCTTTCATTTTAAAATTTAATTCTCTTTAATATCTGTGAGACATAAAAAAAAATTTGCCTCTTTGCCGTCCCAAAAATATGCCGCCCTAGGCTCCAGCCTACTTAGTCTGCTGGTAAATCAGCCACTGCATTAGAGACCTAATTACCTTATTAACCTCGGCACTTTAATATACCACAGTTGACTTGGCACCGCTGGAGGGACTCAAATTTCAGAATCAAAGCAGTGCTATCAGCTTTAAAAAATATATACTCCTAAAGGTTAAGTCCAAAACCCCTAAAATCACCTTATTTACTTGGAAATCCCTTAAATATAGGTACAATGCCTTGTAATGTTCTTTATATATAAATTATTTAATATTTCAAATTAGTAGTAAGTAGTAGTTAATGGATTAAGTGTTATGAGTGATGCGCTATTTCGTTGTAATGCGATTAGATCATCACACTAGGTAGAATTTCAATAGATAACAAAAATGCAACCGTGATAATCAATGAAAAACATACAACCCGTATTTTGAGAAATTTTCTAAAGGTTTACAGCCAGCAGCGCCGCAACCATAGTGAACTGCTAAACAAAAATCAGTTAAAATGGAAAAATATTAAAGTCCCTAAATATACCCCTAAAAATATAAAGCCCCTAAAAAATATCCCATTTATTTATCCCCTAAATATAGGGAGAAAATCGCCAAGTTAGGAACCCTGAATTAAAGGTTACATCATTGTCAATATACGCAAGACAGTAGCAGATTGTATTCTTCTACTTGAAACTATATGCAATTTCACTCACACTGACGTCTGGGATATCATCGGAATAGTATTAGATGAGACTTGCTCTTGGCTTGTTATTTACACTTTTATGTGACTCCATCGATGACTTGTACAGCTATGGGTAGAACATCTCAATCTAACCTAAAATCTTAGGTGTTCTTGAAATGAGACTGCCACAATCAATCTGAAACTACGACAGAAACAATTGATACATTCCCGCAAACAGATTTCTAGCAAAGGCTTTGAAGGCAATCGTTTCTGCAATACTTGCCGTTCTTGATATATGTCAACGACTTATGCCAGCTTCAGCTACACAGAGGAAAAATATTCTCATTTGCCGACGATACCGCATTATTCTTCAGTGGTAACAGTTGGAGGGAGGTCTTTGATTCTGCACAAAGAGGTGGAGCCTCTGGTTACAAAGGAGTGTTGACACTAAACACTGATAAAACAAAATACATTTATTCTCTCTTCACAATAGGTGAATACATGTACATAACCTTCACACTTAGGTAAGTCCCCCTCACTCCCTCTCAATCATAGCCCATGTTTGCAACGCTGAGCCAACTATTTGCAATTGTCCCGCTATACAAACAACAGACAAAATCAAATACCTCGGAATTATAATAGACCAAACCCTGACTTTCAAGCCACATACCGAGGTACTTGTCACTAGGTTACGCAAGCTCATTTACATCTTTAAATCTCTTAAGCACGTAGCAGACTACCGAATCATCAAGATGGTCTACCACATTTTATGCCAATCACTTGTAGACTACTGCATCAGTTCATGGAGTGGTGCGGCTAAAACCCACCTAATCGAGGTTGAAAGAGCCCAAAGGGCCATCCTAGAAGTCAGTGCAGGTCTCCCGTTCTGCTTTCCTACAGTGTGGATCTCTACAGAAAGTGGGACGTTCTAACAGTGAGACAGTCTTTCATCGTACAAACTGTTCTAATGAAACACTCAATGTGAATACGATCTGGAGCTCCTAAAAGACAAACGCAGGAAAGGTTCTGTATATCGAACCCAACCCTTCCATTCTGCTACCTCACACAATTTCTTCTGTTTCCTAGGACCATACATGTATAATTATATAATAAACTGAACAATATCCTAAACTTCTATTCCTTACCTAAATCTAGCTGCCGTCGAAATCCGTTCTTACCAAATATACATATATGTAATACAGGTTTTTTTATACCTACATCAGGCACCAGTCTCTCAACTTAGGTACATGTCTGGCACTTTTGTAGTACTTAGCACTAGGAATACCTATTGTGAAGAGAGAATAAATGCATTCATTCATTCATTCATTCAATTCGAGCTATTTTAAAGTTGTGTAAGCCTTACCGCATGCATTACGAGATCGGTCTGTTTAATTGTCTCCATGCTGTCATATCTCCTAAAGACAGCGGCTTCATATCCCGTCTGACCATGATCAGAGAATTTTTTAGTTTTCTGCGACAGGTCTTTTAGAGCTTAGCAACGGCTACATGGACAGTTTCCACGAGTTTGTCATTTATACCATCTACTGTACTGCAATCTTATGGGCACAGAAAACTATTTTGTAATTCAAGTTAAATTTTTCGGGGATTTGATCGAACGGGTAAACGGACGAACAAACGAATGAAATGACAAAAAAAGTAATTTGACGTAATTCTTTTAAAAACAGCTCGGAAACTATTTTGTCGTTGGTCGGCCAAAATGATGCGTTGAATATATAGAAAACTATCAACTACTCTTTTTATTTAATTCTCTCTCTTTACTGTTTGAGTCCTGTGAACCTGTGATATCCTTGAAAGTCAATAAGTTTTAGTTCGATAAAATGACTTTATTACCAGTATGTAGTAGATGGCGCTATTACAAATCTCAAATGGAAAATGTTCGGTTACCAATGGATCTCACAGACTCAACAGAGTACTGGGGCCCGAAGTGATCCATTTGAATGATCGATCCGAATGTACCACTACGCGTGACGAAATGTACTAGAATGATTCGGTCACTAGAAATGAATGATTGATACTTGTCTACCGTACTTGACGGTATTTGACGGGATTATAGTGTATATATAAAGTACTCTGTGCTACAACGGGTGCTAGATTTTAACAGAGTTTTTGACGGAAACTTGGCCGCAGACGGATTGTCGCTCCTGTTTTGTCGCTTGAATAATGGTTTGAAGTAGATTGTGATTCGTAAAAGTGATTTGATTTTGTGAATTAAGTGTCCGCGCGTGTAAACTATTCGAGAAAACGACGAAACAAGTGCTTTGATGTCGATATAAACCTCAATTTATTTTGATCGCTTGGGCGCCTTATGAACTTGAACTGTCCGCTAGGTTGAGCTGTCGTAAAAATCTCTCAAGGGCTTCGCAATGTGACGCATCAGCATATTGTGAAGAAAAAGAACATAAAATGATGATTTTAAAAGAAAGGATAGGCTCAGAAGGCCTAGAAACCAGAACCGAAAAGCCAGTTAATAAAGAAAAATAGATTTTAACGTTGGCAACACTGCTTCAGTGTCAAGCTGTCAAGTTGTCAAAAGTTAATATTTTCACTGGATTGTTTTGTTGTTCGCAGTGCAACAATTTTATAAGATTGAGTCTTAGAGTTATGTAGTGCTTTTACAAAATAATAAATCAAAATGTCGCTCGAAATTCCATTAATGAGCACGGATGAGGTAAGATTTTGGGATGTAAAATGCGGCGCGCGGTTTTTGTTCTTGTAAGATTATGTATTATTTTATAAATTTCTTCAGGTGATTGAGTTGGATCCAGAGCAATTACCTTCTGGTGATGAAGTTTTAAGTATATTGCAACAAGAACGCTCACAACTCAGTGTTTGGATCAATGTCGCAGTAAGTTTTCAGAAATACACCTAACCTCTTCATTCTGTGATGTTTGTTTAACTGTGATTACATTAAAGAGGAATTACTGTTACAGCTTGCTTATTATAAGCAAAAGAAAATCGATGACTTCCTTAAGATTTTGGAATCGTCCAGAGTGGATGCCAACATTGATTATAGAGACTTTGAAAGAGACCAAATGCGTGCTCTTGACATGTTGGCAGCATACTATGTGCAAGAAGCGAATAAGGAGAAATCAAAGGACAAAAAGAAGGAACTCTTTACAAAAGCAACTTTGCTTTACACAATGGCAGACAAGATTATTATGTATGACCAAGTAAGTATTAAATTTTTGATTTTTATATTATATTAAAATATCATATTAACTTTTCCTATCAGCAAACAAAATAATTGTATGATAAATAGGTATTCAGAAATAAAATTGCTATTATTAAAACAATGGTAAAATTATTATAAAAGAAGGAAAGCAAATTTCAATTATGTATATGAAAGTAGATCAGTTAGTTTATACAAAAGTTTACTGCTAAGAACATGGAAAATATTAAATATTCACTTAAATTTTAATATAAAAACAACTGTTTTTGTAACAAAGGCTATAATTTGATATTTGTTTTATATTTGAAGTTTATAATTTAATTATATACTTCAAATGTAAAACATATATAATTTTATTATATACTTCGAATATAAAGTATTAGTAGATTCTTAGGGAACCATATCTGTTTCTGGTGATTGCCACAGGAGACAAGAGGGCGGGTTCTTTTCTCAAAAGTCCATGCAGTCCAGGTGGACTGTGTGCTTGTTTATTACCCTTATTCTATTAAAAATAAAATATGAACATAATAAATGATACTACTACTACTACTACTATTATCTAGATGTTAGTGCTGTTAGTCTATGCGACTCTTACAGCTTCATCTGTCACAGGGCTTTCCCTTTTTTAATTAGCGCGATAAAAAAAAAGGGGAAAGGCAATGACGTGAGGATGATGATGAAATACGTTATGATTTGGTATTGTTACTAATCATGTCGCCTTTTTAGGAGTTTTTCTTTGAGCTATCTAACCGCAGTCCGAGAGGGGGAGTGAGGCGTAAATGATAACATATGCACATCCAATATAGTTATATGTATATTGTAACCATGTTGTGGCAATGTAAGAATATCTACTACCCCATATTGTCCTGTGGGAATTGCAAGAGGTGACAGAGGGAAACTGAAACAGGAAACGAGCAGCAACATCTTCCTGATAACAACTTAAAATAATAAAAATCTGTGCTTGCCAACCCACTTGCTAAGCTTAGCAACTAGGGCAAAATCCTCCCTATGTGGCAATTTAGGGGGGAGGCCTATGTATAGCAGTGGACTTTTAAAGGCTGAATCTATAAATGAAGCTAAAAAAAAATATTGTTACATGTTGGTAGCATTTTACAAAAATTTATACATCACAGTATGATCATGCACACTAATGAATGCCTAAACTTGAATTTCTACTACCTATGTATTTATTATAAAGCTTTTTGCCTAGAATTTCTGCTACAAACAGCAGTATTTCTACTGCTGTGTTCCAAAGTGAAGTGTGTAAATAAAAAAATATTAAAAAAAGAACATTGTTTGTTCATTACTACAATCACTATAAAAAAAGAAACCTTAATAACAAAAGATCCAGTGTAGTCATTACAATCGGTGGGGGATAGTCCTCGGAGAGGACAAAGCTTCTGTAGCTCCTTAAAGTTGGTTGCTGGTGAATATGGGCTGCAGTTGCCACTTACCATCAAGTGGGCTGTAAATTCATTTGTCACTTCATTTTAAAAGGAAATGACTTTAGTTACCTACTATTTCCACTTAAGCTATGTAAAAAACTACAAGAAGTACAGAGTGGTTTAAAATGTAAATTACAACATTAATCAGTTAAATTTCTAATTGAAATTAGGGATGGGCCGAATATGGATTTCACCGAACACGAATATTCGGCCGAATGTTCGGTAAAACTTTTACCGAACTGAATATTCGGCCAAGCATTATTCGGCAGGATAACCTCGGGACCTAACCAATTTATGTTGAAACTTGTTACCGTAAAGCACGCGGGGTTAGCGCCGGACCCTGCCTCTCGCTCCCCGCCACACCTCACCCCGGCACATGCTTATGTTTTGACTATTCTTGTGATAAAAAAAAGTATTTCCCATCCATCTTGAGTCAAGCGCTTATCTTTCCGCGTAAAGTCAGCACTACTGGCTACCTTACCTGCATGGAGGGGGCGCGTCCTCACTGTTTGCTTTATTATTTAAATAGTGGTGAGCACCAGTTCTCGTCATTATGGCACTCAGGATGCACCAGGTAGCCCTTACCTGGATTCCAGATATTGATTGAAAAATAATAGTCAAGTTTTATTTTATGGTAATAACTCTATTATTTGTTATGTATCAACATCCGGAATCCGTCTTGAGTGATGTGTTTGTTATCACCTGGTGCTAATAACTTATGATAGTTATTAACACTATAATGTGTAAGGTAAACAATAAAAGAGTTATTGCAAGAGATACACAGCAACAAGTTATATATTATACCACAATTGCATTATTTGATTATAACTGGCAATCATGACAATAAGTTTTGCTTTTGTTAATTACAATAATAAATGAAAGTAATATAATATTTGCTCTATCAATCAATTAATGGCATCAAAATAATTTGATAAAGATACAGAATTATTTGCCGCAATTTCCTTTAGTTCTTTTTTATAGTAATTTTGAAATGTGTGCACAGTTTTCCAATTTCATATGTTTCATATCTCCATGCGCATGATCGCGGAGAAGTTTTTGGCCAAAAACCAAAAGGTTTTTTGTGCGTTCATGGACTTGGAGAAGGCCTATGACAGAGTGGATAGGAATGTGCTATGGCAAACACTGAACTCATTTGGGTTGAGCGCTGGCGATACAGGCATTGGAATCTCTTTATAGGGACTCTAGTGCTTGTGTTAGGATCAACGGGGTCTACTCCGACTGGTTTGGCATCCATAAAGGTGTCAGACAGGGCTGTGTGGCTTCCCCGTGGTTGTTCAACCTATTTATGGACAGTTGTTTGCAAAATTTGAAAGTTGAAGAATGCGGATTAAGAATGGGTGAGTTAACCATCAAATGCCTTTTGTACGCCGATGATCAAGTTATTCTTGCGTCGTCGGCGGCTGAGTTGCAAATGATGGTTACATTAATGAACAGATCATTAAAAGAAAGGGGTATGAAAGTGAACGCAAGTAAGACGAAAATTATGGTTTTTGAAAGAGATGAAAGTAAAATGATATGTGAAATAAGAATAGATGGGGAGTTGATCGAGCAAGTAGATGAGTTTGTATATTTGGGTTGCGTATTTAGCAGGGATGGGAGAGATGATAAGGATATAGAACGACGAGTGAACGCAGGAAACAAGTAAATGGGGCCCTGCACTCTATTGTGAAGAGTCAAAATGTGTCAAAAAAGGCACATATGGCAATTCACAATGCTGTGTTGGTCCCTACTTTAACGTATGGTAGTGAAAGTTGGGTGTGGCAGAAGAAGCACGAGAGTAGAATAAATGCAGTAGAAATGCGGTCGTTAAGGAGTATGTTAGGGCTGAATCTGAATGACAGGGTGAAGAATTGTGTGATAAGAGAAGAGTGTGGTTTGCAAGATGATGTTGTGACCAGGATTAAGAAAGGAATGCTTCGGTGGTTTGGTCATGTGGAAAGAATGGAAGAGGAAAGAGTGACAAAGAAAATTTATGTTGCAGAAGTGAATGGCAGAGTCGGAAAGGGACGTCCTAGGCGAAAATTTATCGACCAAATTGGCGATTTATTGAAAACGGGCCAAATTAGGAGTACCCTTAACCGACGAGCATGCATGCGTAGATGTATGGATGTGAAGGAGGCGAGAGAGGTGTGTCAGGATCGTGCCAAATGGAAGTCTGTAGTCTCTGCCTACCCCTCTGGGTGACAGGCGTGAGTGTTTATGTTATGTGTTCATATGTTATAATCAAATTGGTATGTGGTAGAGCCATGCTGCAGTTATATTAGTAGTATAGTTGTAGCACAAATGGGTCGGCTCGACCGGGGAAGGACCGCTCTCTCACAGAATACCAGCGTGAAATGGTAGCTTGATGCTGCTGTGTTTCGAATGGTGAGTGTAGAGAACCGGAGACCCTTTTTACTGGAAATGAGGCATTCCATCTTAGTCCTCAAGGGTGACAATGCAACTGCATTTTGATTTGTAAACGAAGATAAATGTAGATATCCATGGGCCACAGCAACCACTTACCATCAGGTGGACTGTGTGCTCGTTTGTCACCCTACCCTATAAAAGAAAATTACCCGTCTCAAGGATTTTATCCAGTGAAAAATTCTCTCACCAATTTAAAGAAGATATGCTGATCTTACTGAACCAGGAGTAGCTTCAATAGCCACCTCTCTCGAAAGAGATTTTACCCACCCAGCAATTACAGTATGGGATGCTGGCTTAGTCACCTCTAGCTGTAATAAAAAATGATTTATAGCCTTTCTGCGATTTTTAGATATCTTTAATAATTGTCTTATCCAGACAAATAATATTCAAATTTTTATCAGGATGTTCTTTAAGCCTCCAACCAGACTGATATGATTAATGCTGTCCGTTTTGGAACCAAAAGCTGGCTATAAGATTATGCTACTTTGTTCGTCTATTAAACTGTTATTGTCAATATGCAACAAAGTGAGGTCATGAACTCTCCGGCTAGAAGCTAAAAGTAATAATGTAGCTGTATGCCTACATACTTCAACAAGAAAATAAATAACTGCATAAGAAACTTAGGATTCCAAATTGGTGGCTTTACTGGTTTGGTACAGGCCATAGATATTGCTTTTAACATGTGTTGTTTATAAAAAATTCGAAGATAAATCTACTTTTAAAGTTAAGTGAGTGAATGTAAATCTGTGATTTTATCACAGATTTATGTACTAAAATTGTTCTGTAAGCAAGGCCTATATCACAATGTAAATGTGCTAGATAACATGCTACTTATTCTGGGTTAGGATATTTATAATTAACCGAATTAGACTCAGCACCATTTTTTCCATCTATTCCAAGCTGGTTTATATGTGTTGATCGTAGAGCCTCGCCAACTTGATATTAACAAATTCTGTTCTTTATCCGTCCATTCTGTTAACATATCTTGCCACCCAAAATCAGCCATGCTTCCAAGAGCAAGTCTTGAATCTGTGGTGGGTGTATGCCTGTTCTCGTGTCTACTAGAGTGTGGACTAGGTCTGGAATTCGATAAGGGGGGTGTAGAGCTCTGCGTTGAACATCTGCT